TAGGGATCGAACTCTGGACCTTAGGCTTTCGAGGCAGGCACAGAACCTCTGAGCTAAATCCCCGGCCCCTTGATTTCTTCTTCGACACATGGGTTATTCAGAAGTACAAAGGCCTAATATTTAGGGGGTTTTCTATAGTCAAAAACATATTTAAGTCTCTTAAATTCACAGAAACAGGCTTTGTGGCCTAGAATTAAGAACTACAGTGAATGTTCCACATGGCCTTGATAAGAACGTGTCTTCTCACAAGCGCAAGGTCCCGAGTTTGATCTCCGGTACCAAACAACAACAACAACAACAAAAAGAATGTGTCTTCTGAGCCAATGATGTAGCTCAGTGGCACTGTGCCTGCCTGGCAAGCACAAGGTCTTGAGTTCAATCACTGGTACCCCCTCCCCCAAAAAAGAGAGAGAATGTGCCTTCTGCTGATGGGGGCATGTTCTACAGATGTCAGTCGAGTCAGGCTGTTCCTACTCAGGTTGGCAGCGTTCAAGTCTTCCAAGTCCTTACTGATTTTCTCACTGCTCGCTCAGAAAGGACTGTTATGATTTCCATCTCTAATTAGAGATTTGTCTACTTCCTTCATTTCTCTCAACATTTTTTCACTGCTCTGAAGCTGTTTTCTGTGTTCATATTTCGGATTATGTGCTCTTTTAACAACTTACACATACTTTACTGATTGATTGAAAGCATTCATATTATACATAAAATGCTTTTCATGGTTGATCTCAGCTTCATTTCCACACTTTAGAGAGTTCTATATTGGTTTTCTGTGCCTACAGTTGCTCGATTGCTGCTGTTTCTGTTGGTTTGTTTTCTTTCAGGATCAAGATGGGTGCTTTCATATAAAATCTTTTTTGTAATTCCTTCTCTGGCAGTTCTTCCCTGGATTCTTTGCTTTGCATAATTATACCAACAGTGGAACCAGCACCCTCAAGTCATCAACAGAAATCCTCCCACTCTAACATCACACAGCCTTCTAATTATACCTTGCCCTCCCGGGGTCTGCCAAGCTCTGGTAGGGTGGCCATGACAGGACCTCTTCTGCTCCTCCCTGACAACACAGAGGGCCATGGGCACATTCTGTTGTTGAATTGAGAAATGTCCATCTTTATCCATCCCAATTTTTGTTTATTTTGAAACTGACTTTGTCTGGTATTACTATGGCCACTCTAGGCTTTGAGTATTTGGATATACTATATATCTTTTTCCATTCTTTATACTTCTACCCATCTTTATTTGTATGTTTAAAGTATTTGTTAAACAACATATATTTATAGTTTCCTTTGAAGAAAAATAACAAAATGACAGTTTTTGCCTTTTAAGTCTTATGTTTGCTTTTAATGTAATTATGGATATGGCTGAGTTTAAAGCTGTCAGTCTCAATTGTTTTTGTTTCCATCTGTTCCTAGTTCCCTTCTTTTCCTCTTTTCCTATGTTCTTTGAGATTTACTATTTTAAAAAGTTTTCTATTTTATCTCTGTTATTGGTTTATGTGATATACATATTTGTCTTTCTTTCTTTCTTTATTTCTTGGTACCAGGGATCGAACTCGGGTTCTTGCGCTTGCGCAGCAGGCGGCGAAACCACTGAGCTAAATCCCCAGCCCTATTTGTCTTGTTTTTTAAATCTGTATTCTCTCATTTAATTCCCATCCATTTAGCTGGTATTCCAGGTGATTTGTACTCTCTTCTGTAAATTCTTCAAGTGAACCAGATGATTACAAAGCAAAATTGCACAAAGGGATCTCAAATTCTATTATAAATTTTTTTTGGTGGTGCTGGGGTTCATCCACAGCCTTGTGCATGCTAGACACCCATTCTACCCCAGAGCTCCAACACTAGCCCTATGCAGCAAGATTTGCTTTAAAGATCTCCTCTAACAAAGCTGATGGGAAAGATTCTAGATGTACAGATAGCCTACTCTCTGATCATACTACCTAAGTACACAAATGTTCACTGCTGGTAAAATAATATCCACCAATGTCATGTGCACAGTGTTTTCTCTGAAGAATGGTTCTAAAACATCACACTAAGACTGAAAAAGTTTAAATTAAACAGTTTTATGAGGATAAGTTATAACACATGTGATGCTTGTTTACTCTAAGGAATCCGGTCTCGGTGCTCAGGATGTACCAATTGTCAGTAGCACCCAGCTTTTCCAAAGAGCTGGGCATCATTCCTATGTCTGCATAGACTTCCTGTTAGCTGCCTTCTGCTATTGTAGCATGATCTCGGAGTCCCTCTGGTTTCTCTGAGAGGTGGTCAGGCTCCTCTTTTCCTTTGTTCCTTGCTAGTTTCCTGCATTTTCTTCACATCTTTCTGGCAGGCAAGTTCTCCTTGACTTCCACAGGCCATCCCCACCACAGCAGAGCCTCCCAGCCCCGCTGCTCAGGAGAGGAGCAGAATTAACACTCTTGGCAACCAGGACCTCCCCTGGGCGGGCAGGAGAAACGCCAGGTGCCTCCCTCCAGCTCCTCTTCAATGGCAGGCCTGGCCCCACCAAAACAGGGACCTCCCTTCCCTTCGCTGGCTTCCTTCCTCCCTTCCACGCTTTCCTTCCCTCCTAGAAAATGTTAACTTTAAAAAAACAAAAACAAAAAAAACAGAGGGCCGGGGATTTAGCTCAGTGGCACTGTGCCTGCCTTGAAAGCACAAGGTCTCGAGTTCAATCCCTGGTACCATCAAAACAAAAAAGAACAGAGATAGGCATCATTGACATTTTTATTTATCCCTCCCCAGTACATTTTCATGCCTGAGTATTGAGGTGAGGGCATTTACTTTAGTCCCTTCAATTTACTCTCTCTTTGTAGCCAGAATTGTCTTCCTAAGACTCAGTGTCACTCTTCTGCATGTGCACACATGTGTTGTGGTGCTGAGGATCAAACTCAGGACATTGCACATTCTAGGCAGGCAAATCCTCTAACTGTGAGTCATACCTATACCCTTGTTTTGTTTTTCCTCTTTTTGTTTTCTTTCCTTTTGTTCCTCCATGTCACTTTTTTGATCCAGTGATATCCAGCTGTCATTAGAATACAAGGTCTTTTGTGACCTAGTTCCTACCTGTCTCTCTGTACCTGGTAACATACTACTTGCCAGCCACACTTCTTGTCTCAATCCTTTGTACTTACAACTTCCTCTGCCTGGAATGACCTTCCCAGCTCTTCACCTGCATAGCCCTTCTTCATTCTCTAGTACTCGAACCAAATGTCTCCCCCTCAAAAAGACTTGCTACTCACAAATAGATCTGCCCTTGCTGTATGTCTTATCATTCTATTTCCTTCCTAGGGCTTCTTAGGGCCAGAGGTTTGCTTGCTTTATTAATTTACTAGCTGTTTTCCTCTAATAGAATGTAAATGCCACCAGTGATAATGTTTGCCTTATTCATCAGAATCCTCAGTGCCTTGCACAAAACCTCCCACATGCTTTATGCTCAATGAAATACTAGTGAATAAATGTTAATAAGCTCAAGTCCCTTTCCTACTGAAATCTAATGGCTTCCTATCTCACCCCAAATCCTTACAGTGTTTTATAAGTTACTACACAATTCTAGCCCCTTCTTCATCGATCTCCTGTTTTTCTCTTGTTTAATTTATTCTAGCATCCTACCTTACTGTTGTTCCTCAAGAACACCAAACACTCCCCCTCTGAGCCCTTTGCAGTTGCTCTCCTTGTGCCTGAAATACTCTTCTCCCAGAATCTTCAGGCTCAGTTCCCATTCTAAGGTAACAATTCCTACCCCTTTCCCCTGTGTTTCCTTCATCATAATATTTATCACTGTTTGACACAACAAATTTTAATTATTTCTTTTGTTCATTTAATGCTTTCTCAACTGGATTATCACCTCCCTGAGCAGAGATATTTTCCTTTGTTCACTACTTCTATCTCCAATGCCAATCATAGTTCTAATGAATTAAAGACATTATAAAGCTTTGTGTAAGTGTTTCTGTGTTTACTCTAAAAAGTCCGTAAAAGCTGCTGTCTTGTTCCTGAAGAGCCACTGAAGAAATTTCTTTCACTTCAGTCTAAGGAAAAGTTGTGCTTCATTTGCATGGCTCTTTGCTTCTTATGGTCAGTGGTAATCATGTACAGGACATTGTGTGTAAATCTGTGTTAGAAGAACGTTTAGAGGCTCACTCTGTGGCTTACCTTGAGCAAGTGGTGACATACATTCTGCTTGCTGACAAAATTCTTAATCTTTTCTGCCTTAGTTTTGTTTGTCTATTTATGGGATTTTGGTTTGTTTCATATTGAGTCAGGGTCTTGCTGTGTTGCCCAGGCTGGCCTGAACTTGGGATCCTCCTGTCTCAGCCTCTCAAGTAGCTGAAATTACAGGTGTGAGGCACTCTGCTTTCTGCTTTAATTTTAAATTTGTCTTATTTTCTTCACTACATTAAGTTGTATTTCTTTTTATGGTATGGTTTTTGCCAGCTACCTTACGTGTTTCTCTCTATAATTAGGCAGAATATCAATAAATAAAATTTTAAATAGTATTAAATGCTATATCTCACTTTGCATCCAGCTGATTGGTTAGAAGAGTAGCACATTTTCCAGTATTATAAATTTCTCACTTGGTTTCTAATGATTGCAATCATAGAGTGGCTGTACCATAATTCCCTTTACCATTATTGAGTTATTATTTCCAAAGAGTGGTTTTTAAGAATAGTGCTAGAATGAACATTTTTGGGTTTGTTTTGGTTTTGTTTTGTTTCATTTGAGACACATGAATACATCTCATTATGTAGTTCAAGCTGGCTTTGAACTCATATGTAGTCCAGGCTGCCCTCAAATTCACAGTAATCCCCTGCCTCAGCCTCTCAGGTACTAGGATTACAGGCGTGCACCACCCCACCTGGTTTAGAATGAACATCTTTATGCATACAGCCTTTTCATTTTTTAGATTGTTCGCTTAGGCTACAATTGCCCTATTTAATGGTGTTTTCTAGATGCATTGTATCTGTACATGTTAGATATTAGGCTTTCAGAGATCTGAGGGCTGAATGTGACTTTGTACTGCTCTTAAGTTCAGAGTAGAAATGTCCTTACTTGTCAACAACTCAAATATAAGACACTAAAAATGCACCTATATTCTGATGTCATTTTTTTTTCCTTTTTAATTAGCTCCCACTGCAATTCCAAAGCCTTGGACATCTAGTAGCTCTGATGGCACTGCTGTGTGGGGACCCACTGAAAGAGGTGGCTGAAGAGGCTGCAGAATGCATACACTACCTGTTGCATGTCACCCTGAGGCTGAAGGGTAAGGCACTGCTTAAGGCAGCAAGGCCCTGAGTCAGTTTTCGGGCATAACCTAATCTCTGGCTCTCCTTGTGCCCTCCATCTCTGTGTTTTAGAAAGACTTTTTATGGTAGCTCATAAGAGAAGGTATACAAGCTGGGCATGGCGGGGGCGGGGCATGCCTACAATCTCAGTGCTCTGGGAGGCTGAGGCAAGAAGATCACAAGTTCCAGTTCTGCCTGGGCAATTTAGTGAGACTCTGTCTCAAAATACAAAAGGGCTAGGGATATAGTTCAGTGCGAAGGCCCTGGGTTTAGTTCCTAGTACTACCAAAAAAAGTCACATCTAGTTGTAGGGTTCAGAAAAGTCCTCTCTGAAGGTAGTCAAGAATAAAGAGAAATTAACCTTGTGACAGGTGAGCATATCACACTGAGGGAGGTAAGAATAGCCTGTCAGGCTGAGGGAGCAGAATGAGCAAGGGCACTCAGTAGGTTATGAGCTTGAGGAATTTGAAAAATAGAGAGCAAGCTGGTAAGGTCAAGAAACAAATATGTGACTTCCCCAGCTAGAAGGGAGTTTAGAAGATAACCTAACCCTGTACCCGCAGCGTCTGAGTCTCATTTACTCCATTAGTTCCTCCCCAGGGCTTATTTATCTGATAGATAAGAAATCTCCAAGCTTCCCAGCAGTGATCCTGTCTTTGGGCAGCTCTGAGTTTGAGAAATGTATACCAAGATACATAGCCAGGAATACAGTTGGTTATTGATTCCCCAAATATTGACAAAGATCCCCTTGTACTAGGAATGTGTCACTGAAAAGACTGACAAGACTGCTTCCCCAGGGAACTTAGTTTCTAGTTGGACAGGTAGTATCCTAGACCAAGGGCTCAAAGGCTTTGAACAGAGAAATTTCCAGGAATAAGAGGACACATTAAACATGAGAAAACAAGGTATGTTACTGGAGGTTAAGGCCCATACTGCCTGACACTCCTCAAAAACTTGGGAGACAGAATTTTGGTGAAATGAGAAAGGGTTATTCAGAGCCACCTCAAAAGATAGAAGGGTCTCTTGTCTCCGGTCTCTGTCTTCCAATGCTCAGGAGTGCGAAGGGCTTTTATTATGAGAAAGGGGGTGAGGGGGAGGAATCTTCTTTAGATTGCACCTTGGACTATTCTCTGCTCCCCTCCTCCCTCATCAAAATGAAATTTAACCCTAATCCTAACCCAAGCCCTAACCTCCTGGGGTCAGCATCTGCACATTTCTTTCCAGAGTTACTTCTCTGCAAGCTTTTTCATATAAGCTGAAGAGAGGAGTGGAGTATTCGTAGAAGCCTCCCTTTACAATATCAAAGAGATGGGTTGGTAAAGGACTGGGGAAAGAAAAAAAAATAGGGAGAAGGGCAGCTCTATTGAAAACATTTTTCCCCTAAAAGGCAAATAGGTTACAGCATTACCCAAGTGTTGGCAGACTACAACCAGTAAAATTAGCTGCCTTAAGGCATCTGATAATGGAATTCACACATTTTTGTGGGGATTTAAGCTTCCTCAAAATTTCCTCACCACTAGGGAAACAAGGAAGCATGTCTTGTTTGTATTCACAGGTCACTCACAAGCTCTGCCCTTAAGAATTAAGCTCTTTTCTTTGTCCTTCAGCCCTTTTTATATATTGTTCTACAAGAAAGGAGAAACAGGGCCAGGGATTTAGCTCAGTGGTTCTGCCACCTGCCTTGAAAGGGCAAGGTCCTGAGTTCGATCCCCGGTACCAAAAAAAAAAAAAAAAAAA